ATATCCGATCTGATCCAAATAATACACATCCAAATAAACATATACATGAATATCATATATTCGAATTTTGATCCGATCCGAATTTAATAATTACATATATGAATAATTCGAATGCATCTCATAAATTTTAAGTTCGATATATCAACAGATTTCACATAACATACATTTCCGAATTATATCAGAAACAACAATATCACAGAATTCATCATGCTCGAAATCAAACTTCCAATCAACATGCTTATCTAATTTATAATTAATACAACAATACCACAAAACATTCATGCTTTAATCAATTTTTTAGTCAAACAAACAATTTCGTCCTCAATTTTTCCCTTGTTACGACTTTAATTCGATACTTAAAATTATTAAAATCTACCCCATAAATTGGGGTGTGACAATTATCCTCCCCTTAAAAGAATTTCGTCATCAAAATTTGTTCAAGTCACATAAATGCATAAGCGAAACTTTCAGCAGTTCTTCATTATCTTGATGTAACTTTTACAGAAGTACGAGTCATTTACAAATTCTTAACCAGCTGAATGTACATTCTCGTTAAAACTCTCCCTCATCCCAATAAAAGAATTTGAACAGAATTATCCTTATGGAATCAATTCGACCTTAGCTACGAGGTTAGGTTCATATAGCGGTAATATATATCCCAATTTTATTTATAGAGTCGGGTCAGAATTTATCAGATAAGTAACTCTCACATTACTTGTGAGGCACTTTACATAATTTGAACAAACGTTATTGATATTCCTTTATGCATAGGTCGAGCCCTAACGGATAGAAAACTTAGGTTATATGTTTATAGAGATGGACTCGACCTTAGAGTTCTGGCTTAGAGAAATACGATTATAGTCTAGGGCATGTACAAACCAGACATCCTATGACATTCGATCAGTCGATCTACCTAGAAAAACTCGATTCAACCTAGGCTCTGATACCACTAAATGTAATACCCATAGACCGATGTGACTGACCTAATCCAATCCAAGGAGTCACATTAGGGCCACCAGAGTGACCCACAGTAAAAAAATCCATGAAAATTTAAAATTTATGTTAAAACTTATAAAATCATAAAACAAAATTATAATTAAAATATAAGTTCAGAAAATCATTCATATACTACAAACAGAATTAAAATCATACACGTTTTAGACTCGGATATAAAAATATAATACAACCTATATGACCATAATCACATACATCGTACTCCGTAAGAACGCCGGATGTCGATAGCTGCACTGGATCAATTCTTTTAACCTGAAATAGTGAGTAACAGAGTGAGCTTCGGGAAGCTCAGTAATACAGAACTACCAAGTGACGCTGAAGGACATGTAGATAATAGGCAAACACAATTTTCCTTATTGATTCAGACATCTACATATTTTTTGTGATGAGCTGAGGTCCCACTGATATTTTAGGTAGTAAAAGACATGAAGCTTATAGTTAAGAGGAAACATTCAGAGAACCAGGTTCAAGAGATCATAATAGGGTGTCTAGCGTGCTCCCACAAAACCAGTGAAAAGGTACATATCTTTTTAAAACACTAGCAGTTTAAAAACTTACTTTTAAAACCATAGTAAAACCCTCCAACCGAACACCAATATGCAGTTACCCAGAACTGCATCCATAAGGACTTACCCTAAGCCCCATTGGGCATAGTGCCAATCTAAAGGAACACATTGGGTCCATAAAGTCTTACCCTAGCCGAAGTATAGGTGCCCATCTGAGGGGAGTTCCCTCAAGTCCATAAGGACGTACCTAACACACATAGCAGAGGTGTCACCATAAGGGAGTTCCTTAGGGTCCATAAGGTCTTACCATTAGGCCTAGGGGCCCACCCAATGGTCACCTTAGATACGTAATGAATTACCAATTCGATCAGTCTGAACCTATATAAGAAATTACTTATTTGATCGAGCTGAACCTGTCGTAAGGAATTACCAGTTCTATCGGTCTGAACTTATATAAGGAGTTATCAGTTTAATCGAGTTGAACCTGCAAAGACTTTATACTAGATCCCAGAATAACCCGAAGAAAAACATTTTTCAGACATTAATCAGTGGTAATAGAAAATAAGAGTTCATGCATATCAATTCAGTAGATATGGTATCAGAGATCATGAATTAGACAAACAGACTTAAAACTTTAGTAACTCAGAAATCTCGGTAAAACACATTTTGGAACATATAAAACAATCATATAACACATAGGGAACACACTAGAGGATCCAGTTATTTTCTGAAGGTACTGGTATTTATTAGGTAGGGAGCCATGAAACTTCTGTAAACTGATTAAATTCAGAAACGAGATCCCTATAAAAGGGTTTGATAGCTGACAGATTCATCAATTGTTCAGGACATGATTTATCAAGATCATATAGTATTCGAATATTTTTCGGAGGCACTATGTAATCAGAAAGATATTCAGAATCTTTTGCATCAGAGTTACTTGTGATTTTAGACATGACATGAGTGTTTGCATTATTTAGGAAATCAAGGGCAATTTGGACATTAGGTTCTTGAAGGATTATTAGTAATTTGATCTAATAAGGGAGAAACGATGATTCATGGTATTTACGATTTGTGTGTCGATTTATTAGGATATCAAGTTAACTTAAAGGGTATTCATACTTTAAACTGATGCACTTCAAGGGTATTCACACTTTAATACTAACAACTCTCGTCGAACTGATCATCTTCAAAATCATCTTTGAATGGATCTTAGGGAGACTAACATGTATTCAGTCATTTCGTGACTTGGGGTTACCTTAGGTCATTTACATTATAGGGGCATTTTGGTTATTTTACAGTTTAAGTGTATTCAGTCATTTTATTCGATTCAAACGTATGCATCATTCTAGTAATTTATTTATCAGGTGGTTTTATCCAAAGATCACCAAATCTAAATCTTTTACCATCTTGAAGGTTAGAAATCGGTTATCCAAGATTGTTTAAGCAAAATTAGCATTTCTCCATATATATCAGTAGTTTCTTCATATCAATATGTATTTTCAGAGTTATTTTTCCAATTTTAGGGATGATTCTTGTCCTTTATACAACATGAGGGTATTTTCCTTATTTTACCCTATAAGGGTATTCTCGTAATTTTACCTAACAATAGTATTGTCATAATTTCTCATTCAAATACCTTTGACATTTAACCTTTAAGGAGATAAAACAGAATTTACAGATCCTGAGGCTGATGGCTTACCATTTAATCACAGAACTTGCAATTTAATTCCTATCAGTATTTCAATTTCTTATATGAGTCATTTGAGTCATATTCAGTTACCGAATTTTTACCGTATACGGATCGAGTTTAGAAATAATTTTCTATACAGATAAGTCCAAGCATATTCATCCATGCATTTACCAATTCCAACATGTTCCATAAAAGCATGCATAAGGTAGTAATGTATTAACTCGATTTTCGTGCTCAATTGATCAAACATTTAAACTCCATTCGATTACTCTCGAACTTGAATCCAACGTCCAATAATTTATTGGATATATATCAACGAATTTACGTCAGAAACTGAACTTAATCGAAAAACCAAATTGAATCCGAATATAAAACACTGAAAACGGCTTACCAAGTGCCAATTTGGAAAAATGGACTTCGGATTCGAACTCAGAACGTCGAAAAATATAAAATATGACTTTTCAAAAAATTTGACTTTTTGTGTCAAAGTCAACGGTCAATGGTTAGATCGGTCAACGGGTCAAGTCAAAGTCAACATGTCGGGTCGGATTGACTCGGTTTTGGTCAAAGTCAACGGATTGGGTCAAACAGACCTAGTTCAGATCGGGTTGGTTGGTTCAGGTCGGTCCAAATCGATTAGACCGGTTCTAGAAGGTTTCCAAGGTGGACAAAAGAAGCCCATGCGCACGCGGCAGCGTATGGTGACGGTGACGGGCTCTGAGTGATCGACCAATTACTCCTACAACTTCAAGTTAACCAATTGCAATCAATATTCAACCAAACATCATTTCAAAATCCATCTGAAATAAAAGAAAAGGCCGAAACACTTACCCACACCGGTGTTCGGCGGAACTTGCGACGTTGACGCGACCCACCGTTCGGGTTTTGAGTGGAACAGATCGGGGAACACGTTGGTGATGGCAGTGAGGCAAGACGGTCGCCGGATCGATCAAAATCGATGGAAAACTGAGAGACCAGGGCGTGATTTTGGGGATTTTTCATCGTACGAAAAATCGTTGATTCGCGTTATATGAGACGTTTCACGGTACGACGATACTCGGGCTTTGGTCGTCGGTCGGCGACAATTATAAAGGTGTCTGTGGCAGGTTGAACGGTGGCCGAACAACGACGAATTTGAGGTGGAAATGAGGATAGGCTCGACCGACTAAGGATTTTGGTTTTAATTTGTGGATTTTTGCTCGACCGAGGAGGGGTTTATTTTTCACTAACCAAATAAAATGGGTGGTCTAATTTGGTTAAGTCCCTAAAGTTTCCACAAGTTCCAAAACCAAGCTATAACTTTAAAAAAATTATAATTTGGTTCTCAATTTCTTCATTGTTACGACTTTGATTCGATACTTAAAATTATTAAAATCTAACCCCTGAATTGGGGTGTGACAACATCACCACATCCGTTAAAAATTAACGGATGGTGCCTTGATTGAAACTTTTAAATAGTTGGGTGGTCTAATTGATTCAACTGAAACTTCGGTGATCAAAATGATTTTTGACTATAGTTTAATGGTCTCCTGTGTAGTTTACTCTTTTATTATATCTTGATTTTTTTATTATCTAACTTCACATATTTTATAGTTTTGTATGTCCTAAAATTTTTAATATAGTTTTTATATCTATTTTTGCGTCGGTCCTTATTGTTCCTTTTTGTTAATCATACTTGTACTTTTTTTTCCAGATATTTTTTTACTTGTTTTATATTCATATATTTTGCCTATAAAGATCTTCAAACGGCGAAACTTCGACAGTGAAAGCTTTTGAAATACAGGAACAAAAAAAGCAGGGGGAAACGTCTGTTGTTGACTTATTTCGAGCTTTCGATTCTCTTCACCAATGGAAGAAGGAGCAGGTAGGTCCGTCAAGTGTGGATCATGGATCCGTCGACCCGAAAATGTCAATTTGGTCGTGTTGGGACTGACCATGACCCGACCCAGTTCTTCTTCTTCGGTTGCTGCTATCGAGATTTTCTCTTTCGATCCCAAGATCACTTCTCTCTCTTCATCTCCATTGGTAAGCTCGTCCCCCTCCCCTCCCCTCCCCTCCCCTTAACTTGGGTGTTCGAGAAACATTATGTTAATGTTACATTTATTTATTGCTTTTTTGTATCCACTTTTGGTTTTGAGAAAGTTGATTTCTGCTTTTAGGAATTTATATTTTATATACTTAAATTTGTCATATTAGGTTAGGCATGAATTTGAAGAGAGTGATGGTGATCCAATAACCATTGCAGTTCACCCAAGTGGAGATGACTTCATTTGCTCCACCTCTAATGGCGGTTGCAAGTGAGCTCTTTCTTTTTTCCTTTTAATTTTACTTTCACCGAGTTTGTTATCTGTTGATTGCCATCGCTTGGAGAGGCGAGAATATTCAATTTTCTTTTGAAATGCTTCGTGATGTTCATTAGGATGTCATTTTATTCAATAATAATAAGCTTAATATGTTAAAAAAGAAACCATTTCCAAACTATATGGTTACTCCCCTAAACCGAGCTTGAACGAATAAAACTCTATCTATGTTGATTCGTTTATTTTTGAGATTGTTCATTTTTTTTTTGATAGAAAGGCCCCATTCAAATCCTCCTTCAATCCCTCCATGTTATGAGAGTAACATGAAGGAACAACGAAGGAGGAAAAGAGAGCCAAGAAAACTTTTATTCACAATAACCAGATTACAAGCTTGAACAAACTCCTACACTTCCAACGGAAGAACATAAAACTTAACACAAACATCCAACAAAACAGGGAGGAACAATTCCTGTTAAACAACACAACTATAACCAAAATCACCCTATCCCATCTTTAGCAAGTTTATCAGCTTCCCAGTTTGCCGCCCTTGAAGTATGCCTAAAAATAATATCCTTTCCAATCAAAAGTGAAATTATATCCTTCACCAAGGATAGATGCAAATGAGGGGTTAAACCCGGATTCTGAATCCACTTCAGAGCGTTAGAAGAGTCTGATTCCAAGATAACTCTTTGATTTGCGACAAAATCCAACTCCTCCATAAGACAAATCCCTCTTTGATAGCCAACAGCTCAGCCAAAATAGGAGGACCACCCCCTACTGCTTCAGAAAACCACTGAAGCAATAGACCTCTGCTATCTCGAAACAGACCACCAATACCTCCTTTTTCCCAACCCGAAACCATCGCTCCATCAACATTTAACTTTAGAAACCCCTCCGGTGGAGGAACCCAGCAAGCAGGTTGAGAGCAAACCTTTCTTGATCTACCAATCGAGTCAGCAATTTTCAAGTCACCTACTAGAGAATCTAGAGGAATACCCACATCCTTGAAATGAGCACTAAACCAGGAAGCCACTCTGAATCTAACAATGAAAGATAATCTGACCAAATCCAGCTTGCCTTTCTGAAAGATAATCTCATTTCTACATTTCCATACTGACCACATCACTGCCCTAGGAATGAATCTCCAAATCAAAGAGTTAGTCATTAAATCATCCCACAAAATTAGAAATTCCATTGTACACTTTGGAGTCACCAATGACACATCCCACATTTTCAAGAAGGAGGACCACAGACCCCACACAACCCTACAATGCAGAAACAGATGAAAACTGATTCCACCTCCCTACCACACAGAACACAACGTTGGTCAACAATCTCTGCAACACCTCTCTTTACTAACTCCTCTTTAACCGGTACTCTATGTTGTACTAGTTGCCAGACAAACAATTCCACCCTTGGAGGAGCTAAACCAGACCAAAAAGTCTTATCCCAATTCACTTGATTTTGCTCAGAATCACGTTGTACATAAAAAGCTTTTATACAAGATTTAGCTGTAAAATTTCCTTCACCATTCCCTAACCAAATCCAACAATCATCTGCAGTGGGAAAAGGAGAGGTATTATTCAACATTGAAATCAATTGCATCCACTGTTCTACTTCCCAATCAGCCAAATTCCTTCTCATTTGGATGTCCCACACCCAACCCGAAGCATTTTGTTCCCTAAACTCTTTCACTTTACCCGATTTATTAATTGAGAGAACATAAAGTCTAGGAAACAACGATTTGAGGGGAACATCACCCAACCATACATCATTCCAAAACTGCACATCTTCCCCTTTCCCCGCCTTCAATCGCATATTCCTTTTAAGACATTCTCCAAAATCATCACTATTGAAGAAGTTTTTCACCACACCTTTCCAAATCCACGATGCACGAGCTGGCACCGAATTCTCCAAAATAATAGATTTGGGATCCAAATTGTAGGCGGCACAAATCACTTTCTTCCACCAAGAATTCTTTTCAGAAGAAAACTTCCAAACCCATTTTCCTAATAAAGCTCGGTTCAAAAGTGCTAGATTAGGGACCCCTAGACCCCCCATATATCTTGGTTTAGAGACCGACTTCCAATTGACCCAATGGATTTTCTTCTTATCAATCGAATCCCCCCACAGAAATGAAGCCATGATAGAGTTAAGTTTGAGTATCACCGTAGCTGGGATTCTGAACATAGACATAAAATAGACCGGAAGAGAGCATAGCACCGATTTGACCAAAACCACTCTTCCCGCTACCGACAGAGAATTAGCTATCCAACCAGTCAATTTAGCATTAAATCTCGCCACTATCGGATCCCACATAGCAGCCGAATTCCTCTTGTACCCCAGAGGCAGGCCTAAATATTCAGATGGAAGATATCCAACCGAGCAGCCAATAACTTCAGCCCAATTAGTTAGCTCCCCTTCTTCAACATTGATTCCAAAAATCCTGCTTTTACCTAGATTTAACTTCAGCCCCACCAGAAGTTCATAAATCAGTAACACTCTTCTAATATTCCTCAACTCACGAATGGAACCTTTACTGAAAATTATAAGATCATCCGCAAATTGAAGGTGTGACAGCTTGAATGCTCGGTCCTGCAGTCCTAACTCGAACCCCGAAAACAATCCCATATCTACTGCTTTAGATAACAGTAAATGCAACAACTCCGTAGCCAAATTGAAAAGCATAGGTGAAAGTGAACAGCCCTGTCTTAAACCTCTGGCAATATGAAATTTCTCCGTTGGAGATCCATTTAACAAGACCGAAATCTCAGCAGTTGACATGCACTGGAACATCCACGACCTCCACTTTTCACCAAACCCCATTTTGCTCATAATCTGAATCAAAATTTTCCAATCTACCGAATCATAAGCTCTCATAAAATCCACCTTGAAAACTACTCCCTTCAGCCCTCTCTTCCTCCAAAAATCAATACTCTCATTTGCAATGAAAGAGCAATCCAAGATATTCCTCCCCGGAATAAAAGCAAATTGGGACTGACTTATAATATCGTTGAGATACAAACTCAATCTTCTAGCTAAGACCTTAGAGATGACTTTATAAAGACCTCCCACTAGGCTAATTGGCCTAAACTCTTCCAACCCCTCCGGATTTGCCTTCTTTGGAATAAGAGAAATGAAGGAGAAGTTAACCTCCGGCTCCCAAACCTTTCCCACGTAGAAATCCCTAAAAAACCTCATCATATCATCCTTCAAATTAGGCCAGAACTTCTTAAAAAACCCTAAGTTCAGACCATCAGGACCCGGAGCTTTGTTGATATCTGAATGAGCAATAGCTTCCCAAACTTCCTCTTCAGAAAAAGGCTTCTCCAAAGCTAAACGCTGACCTTCGGACAACTTGAGAAAATCCAGATTTAATTCCTCTGCCTCCAGGGTGTTTGTTTGATTATACAACCTCTTGAAAAACTCCACCACTGAAGCTTTTACTGACCTTGGGTCTTCAACAACTTCACCATCAACTTTGATAGCTTTTATGTAGTTTATCCTCCCTCTAATTGCTGCACTATGATGGAAAAACCTTGTTTTCTTATCCCCCTCCAATCTCCATTTCAATCTAGACTTTTGCATCCAAATTGATTCTTCCTTTTTTTGTAACTCCCATAATTCTCTCTTGCTTCAACAATAGAATTCATTGACACCAAAGAAGACCCTTGTTGCAATTTTATTTCCATATCCTGTATCTCAGTCTCCAAGGTTCTGATTCTGCTTGGTAATTGGAGAAAACCCTTACCAGCCCAATTTTTTGCGACATCCTTCACCCGGTTAAGAGTTTTGGAAATGGGTCTCGAGTTTTCCTGTGTACCCCGATTGAACAGTTCTTTTGTCAACAGTTCACTAAACCCTTCCTCCTCCAACATATAATTAAACAATCTAAACGGTTTTGGCCCCCAATTGCACTCCCTATTCTCCAGCAGAATAATATTGTGATCAGAAATGGACCTAGGCTGCAGATTTTGATTGATCATTGGGAATTGCGAGAAAAAACTATGATCAACTAAAAACCGATCCAATCTCTCAAAAGTGGGAACTTCCCTGTTATTACACCACGTGAACTGACCTCCCACTAAGGGTAAATCGATTAGATTTGCCTTAGAGACAAAATCTCGAAAAATATTCATCGACGTCAAATTCACATCACCACCCCTTTTCTCTTCCTTCGTCAAAAAGGCATTAAAATCCCCACCTAAACAAACTGGGCAGTCCACCTGTTCCAGAAGGAAAGTAAATCCCTGAAAAATGGCTCTTTATCAGCCTCCACACTTGGACCATAAACATTTATGAAACAACAATGGTTTGTCATACCATCCAACCAACCCTTTAACGCCACAAATCTAGTTCGGATGACCTTATCCTTCACCACAAATACCTTCTGATTCCACATTGTTATTAGACCACCAGCCGAACCTACAGCAGGCACAACTGCCCACCCATTAAGGATTTTACCTCCCATTTTCCTACCTAACATAGTGCTAACAATTTCCAATTTGGATTCTTGCAAAAATAAGATAGTTGGTTTTTTCTCCTCTACAAATCTCCTAATGGCACGTGCTTTAACCTTCCTACCCAGACCCCTAACATTCCAACACATAATGGACCATTCTACCATCAAAAGCATTTTATGACCATACCCCCTAAACCAACTACCACCCCTCAATCATCTCTATCCTTCACCAAAGGGACAACTTTGGTCAGGAATTCCTTTTCTCCGCCTTTAAACCTTACCCCCAATAAATTGGATACTCTCCAACACTCCATTGCTTCTGTCCTCCTCTGATTCTTTTCTCCTGCTCCAATACCATCATCCATACCATCACAACTTTTGGCAGCCCTCCTCCTAGCATAAACTTTATTCTGATATCCTCTCTCGACATTATTACCCGATACACTCCCCCCCAAAGGTCTTCGCATTGATAGAGACACAGACCCATTCTGCATACCATATCCAACCTGTGTATCTGAAATTGAAGGCTCAGACTTCTTACCATTCTTCTTTGGTGATGGACTAAACTGTTCAGGCCCAAATACTTCCCTCCTTCCCATGTTGGAAATAAGCCCATCCTCTTGAACAACTTTATCTTTCCCCGAGGAGTCTCCTTGCAAGCTGGCCACCTTTTTTCCCCCATCAGAAAAAGTCCCTGACACAGTCTGCTTGCTGCAACCTTCACCTAGTACTGTCCCCTCGATACAAAGGTCAACCTTTGAACTTTCCTCGGCTTCAGCGCAATTTTTCAAACTCCCCTCGTTCATTGGTCCACCTCCCTGTGAAGAACCTCGGACCCACTCTTCAACCCTGCTTCTAGAGTCTGACATCTGCTGAGAATTAACCTGCCCTTGCAGACCACCTCGATCCTCCCCTTTGCTCCCCTCTGACGAATCCCTCTCCCAAGGAACCACTGTTCCTCCTTGAGAACCATCTTCATCGACCCTTTCATCATCTTCCCCTTCCTCAAGCTCAGGGAAGAAATCATCACTGCTTTCTACCTTAATCTTGATAGTAAAGGACCTTCCAAGAGTATTAAAAATGACATATGGAGGGATGTCAAACGGACTTTCAACTCTTAATAACATCTGAGCCACCCTGCAGTCGACTCTTTGAGCTGTCTGTTCTTGAATCTTCACTAATTTGCCCCATCTCGATGCCAAACTAGTAAAAAAAGAAACTGACCAGCAGTTTAACGGAACGCCCATCATGGATACTGAGCAGTAAGGTAATGGAACACCCTTCTCTTCGATCACCGGCTCCAACCTTTCAAACCAAAAGGACAAAACTTCCCATTTATCTTCTATAGCTGCTTCCTTCTCCTCCACAGACCGGAAAACTACCAAACATGCATTTCTCGCATAACCCCATCTAACTACCTTAACATTGATTCCCTCTGTTCTCAATGCCCTTTGCACAAACTCAACCTCAAATATCCCTTTAACGATACCTGTTAATGAAGTCCTCAGCCATGCTCTTTCCTCCAAAGGAATGAAGAAATCCATGTCGTTCTTCTCTCTCCTGTCCCCAAGGTTTCTGGATTGCTGACCCTCATCTTTTTTCACACCTACTACCGTATCCTTATATGTTCTGCCATCCTGGAACCTGTTCATCATCTCCTTCTTCCTAGCCTCAACCACTTGGCTAGCTGCATTTTGCCTTTTCGTAACCTCGACACCTGCACCTCCAGCCTCCACTACTCTATTGCAATTCAAGTTCCTCGGACCACTACTCCTCCGATATTTCGCAAAAGATACTAATATCCTCTTCCCATCAACAAGGGCGTTGTTCATCTTCTCCTTCGCAGCAATCAAATCCTCCTTACTCGCAAAATGCACAAAAGCAAACGTCTTGTTCTTGTAGTTGGGTCTGCTATTAACAAACGGTATAAAAACTTTAATCACCTTACCAAAACGGCTAAAACGATCCCACAATACCCTCCTATGCACTCTCCTACTAAGATTATCAACGAAAGCAACCCACGATCCTCCTACAGCTCCTAAAGCAGCCATTTTTCATACAAGCTTTTTAGTATATATTCGTTAAGAAGTTCAAAATTGTGTTCAAGCCTGGTTCATTGAACATTATGTTGTTCATTCGTTTAAATTAAATCAGCACGTTTGCAAAAATTAAATGAACATGTTCATGACTAATTAAAATATATTCATGAACGAGAGGCTGACAAATCTGAATAATTTCAAACAAACAAACAACAAATAAATGACTTTTAGATCTGATAATTATATCATAAAGCAATAAAAGAAAACAAAAAGGGTATGTTCTAAATTATATCATAATCAAAGAATAAATGTGTTTTAAATGAGCATTAAATTATTTATTAAACTAGTTTCAATTGATTCATAAAGAAGTTTGTTCTTTAGTATAAACAAAATGATGTCATCTGTTTCTTTAATAAACGAGTTGCAAAATCTTGGTCATATTTGTTTATTTAGCTTGATAAGCATATATAAGTGAACATAAATTGAACTTTTTCATGATCTGTTCACCAAATGCTCTGTTTTGTCATTGTCCTATTTCTTTTAATAGTTTGTTACGGTCATGGAAAATGCGAGGGCTCAAGGTATTTTGATCTTGAGGGTAGTAATCATATAGTTTGGAAATGGTTTCTTTTTGCTTCCATTTGGCTTTGGAACTATTGGAGGGAGAAGTGGGGTATTGTCTCTTCTTAAGGGGGACTTTGTGCAACACAAAAATATACTAGAAATCTCTTCTCTTTGCTCGGTTATCTACATATTGGGCTCTCTGCATTATTCCGTATCTGGTTGGTGGACTCATTCTTGCCTGCTTGGATTTGAGGAACGATTTCATAGTCAACAGTGTTCAGTTCTCTGTTCTGGATTTTTCATTCATATTCTTGAATCTTGCCCTTGTTTGAGTTGTTCGCAAACTAACTTTTTTGCTATGCTCATTGTTAATTCGATTATATGATATCCAGAAGCATAGTAAGTTCTTGGTGCTACTTTGAGTCAGATTGCTTCGAGATGTCTTATGAGCTCTTCTAAATCCTTTATGTATTCATTCCGTGATGCATCAACTTTAAGTTAGTAAGTCTACTTTTGAAGCAAATGTGGAAGCCCTCAAATTGTATTGGTTATTTTAACATTCCCACTTGCTTCCCCCTCCAAAAGGAAAGAAAAAAAAAATATTGTGTTGGTATCTGGAAATGGACTACTAAATCCTTTATGGCCTGAGATAGAAGGAGAAATTTCAACATTTTTAGATTGATGTTTATCACAACAAACAATTACTTCATGTTAACCTTTGCTGACAATTCTTGGGCATGGTGTTTTAATAGAATGAGATATTTTCTTGTATGGGCAGGTTGTTTGAGGTGTATGGTCTGGAAACAAAATTGAAGCTTCTTGTCAAACAAGTACCTCCTCTCCAAGATGCTGGTCCACAGAAATGCCTAGCATTCAGTGTTGATGGTTCTAAATTTGCCACTGGTGGAGTGGTAAGCAGTCATCTTGAATTTGATCAATGCTTGTTTTCATTTGTGATGTTGTTAACTTCTATCATGATCAAACAATAGGATGGGCATCTTAGAATCTTGGAATGGCCAAGCCTGCGTATTATTGTAGAGGAAGTAAGAGCACATGAATCTTTTCGGGATATGGATTTTAGGTAAAATGAGCCTATTTGCATGTAATCATAATGTAATTACTGTCTAGAAATGTTATTGGCAATATGAGGTGCCGTTTTGAGACTTCTTGCTCAACAAAATTATTCTAATGACCATTGAAAGGGGTTGAAAAATCTTCTTGCATATCTTTTTTGTTTGTTAAAAAAAGTGAATCATTTGTATATTTTCTAAAGTTAAATTTGTTTTGATGGTTTTTCGTTTCCAGCATGACTTGATTTTTTTTTGGGTTTGTTTTTCATACTCTAGCCTCGATTCAGAATTCTTAGCATCAACATCTACTGAAGGTTCAGCAAGAATCTGGAAGGCAGATGATGGTATTCCTTTAATGACTTTAGCTCGAAACTCGGTATCATTCCTTTAACCAATGATTTTCTTGATATATGCTAAATTTTGTCTTTCTGACTAATATTTGGTCTGTTTTTGTCTGTAGGATGAAAAGATTGAATTATGTCGGTTTTCCCAGGATGGGACAAAACCATTTCTGTTTTGTTCTGTTCAAAAGGGTAACCATGCTTTAGTTTGAAGCAAACGATCTATTTTCAGTTATTAAATATTTTTACAAAAACTGCATGCTGAAATTTGTCAGGTAATAAAGCAGTTACTGCAGTTTACGACATAAGCACATGGAATAAAATCGGGCATAAGAGGTTACTCATAAAGCCGGCTTCTATTATGTCTGTAAGCCTCGATGGAAATTATCTAGTGCTGTAAGCCTTCAGTATTGCCTTTTGCATTTCTTTGTAGTATCAGGGTTCATGTTGCAAATTAGCAAAATGAAGCCATTGGGTTGGTTTGGTTTGCCTGTTTGGAAAAAAAACCTATAGTATTATTAACTTTCAAATCTATATTCCCTAATTATGTTTTTCCACTGTAGAATTTTGTACTTGCCTTCTATGTTCTTGGATCTGGGGGTATATTGCGCACAAATATGTGTGTTGTCATATGGATATTTTGTAACTTTTTCCCATGTATTTGAAGAGTTCTTGGAAGGTCATATCCTTGTAACCATGTCCAAAAATTTAAATATGTTGAACATGAATATAGCTCGTTTTGCTACAGCTTTATATTTAAGACCTCCATTTCCATGGTTATATTGTAGCTGAAAGTGTTTGGGACATGGGTATTTTAAGAAATATGATGAGTTTGAGCAACATTAGCTCAAGATTCATCACCTATGTATATGTAAATGTTTAACTTGCTTGGCTTCTCGTGAAGATAATTGAGTAGGGTCTGATGAAAAATAAACGAGTTTCGGTCATGGGTATTTTAAGAAAAATGAAGAGTTTGAGCAACATAGAAAAATATACATGCCATCTATGTAAATGTTTAACTTGCCTGGCTTCTCATGAAGAGAATGGAGTAGGGCCTGTTGAAAAATGAAGTGATAGATACAAAGACTGAAGAATGTAGTGATCAAGATTCATAAATATCAATCACTGGTTTAATGATGCTATGGAAAATATTGTAGAATTGATTACATTTATGATATACTCCAGTAATGTGCTCATTTGACAAATATGCTTGATTGTTTTCATCACAGGGGAAGCACAGATGGAGACATTTGTGTGGTTGAAGTAAACAAAATGGAGATCAGCCATTGGAGCAAGGGGCTACACCCGGGTGAACCAATTGCATCACTCGAGTTCTGTCCTAGTCAAAGGTATGGTTTGGTGAAACAAGTGGTATTTTTGCTAATCATTGCCAATAAAATACTTGTATTTAGCGTTCAGTAATAATGTCTCTAGATTGGGCCCGTAGTCAAGTCTTAAAATATGAATCTCTTGATCATTCAAGATCTCTTTCTTTGAGATTATCATGGTGATCTTTTGTCTTTTGATAAACACCTTTATCTTTGCTGTAATTCCCTTCTCTCCTTGTCAGATTACAATTTTTACCTTAATGAATTTAAGGCGATCTGTCACCGTAATGATTTTTTTTACATTAAGAATTTGTTAGAAATAGTATATTTTATTAAATGATGGTTTTGATCATTTTTCAGTTTCTCTTTTTGTTGTTATATTTTATTTATTCGAATGGTAGCTTTAGTTTTTCTTTTCAAGGTCTCATTTAGTATTTGTTTTAAAGCCCTAGTTCAAATCTTTGTTCCAACTTCTTATTTTTCTTGAAGTACCCATGTCTAACCCTTTTTTGAACATGGCTTTGGGGATAATGACCCTCCAAATACATGAACAAATTTGGAAAAAGTTGAACATACCCATGTTGGACACATCCATCTTCAGATCTCGTATTTGAGTTCGAGTAACATTAGACACATATAGTACCGGGTCCAGCTCCTCGATTTCCATGTCATTGCTTTGTTGCAGGGTTGTGCTGACAACTTCCAGTCAATCGGGAGCCATGGTAACAAAATTAAATGTTCCTGCAGATTGGAAAGGTAGCTTCCCCGCCTCTCTCTATCTCCTCTCTCTGTGGGATGCATATGAGCAATGTTATCAGATACAAGAACCATTATATCTTTGTGTGCAGAGTGGCAGATTTACTTGATGCTTCTTGGACTGTTTTTGGCATCGGCAGTTGTTTTTTATATATTCTTCCAGAAATCGGATTCATTTTGGAACTTCCCTCTCGCAAGAGAACATCAAGCAAGACCGAAGCTCGATTCATTTTTAAGGGATGCTCAGTCAGATGATGTGTTCGGACCTTTAGATATGTGAGTATTTTATCCGATCTAATTGATACCGGAAGTAGTATCAAAACTACAGATGATTGTGTTTGCAGTTTTTCTGTGCATTAGCCATTCTCTGTGTTGTATGAGTGAGTCCAGATGCTTAAATTCCATGGAAAAGAAACTATAAATAACATGCCTTTACGAAATATACGTTGAAGATTTATCAGATTTCAAGTCAGTTGATCTTTAAGGCGAAGTTTTTGAACTTGAAGATTATTCAGTTACTCGGGTATGACCGAGTGTCGTAATGGCCTCTCCAACATGCATATTTATATACGTTTATCGTAATTCGTGTATTAATATAATGTATTTTGATATATTATGATCTTACTTAACATATCTTATATTTTTCTATTTCTTATCATGTGTCATGTTTTATCGTGTTAAATTGTGTCTGAAACTGCAGGAATAACCACTTGAACAGAGTAGTCCGTTTGAATAAAAAATTATATTGATTAAATTAAGATTTGGTTAATTATCTTTTTATTGGATAATCAGATAAAAATTGATAATCTAATAAAAAGTTAAGAAGGCTTTGATTTGAAGTTAGAGGTAAACAAAACTCAATTCGACTCGAAAACAAATCAATTTAAATTGATTTCGAGTTATAATTTTATAAGTTTGATTATAAAAAAAATTAAGTTCAAACTAAGTTGTAAAATGCAACTCTAATAACTCGAAAAATAATTCGAAATTTTTAGTAATTAGTAGATTAATTTTTAAGTTTGAGTCTAGTTTCTCGAATTTGTATGATAATGTATATAATATATGAAAAATGTTGAAGAAATATATATGTATTGTATATGGTTATAAAAAAATCATTTAAATTAAAAATAAATAATATCATAAATATTTATAATTAAATTTAAATAAAAACTCAAAATTTTGATTCAGTTCTAAAAAAAAATTAAATAAATTTTAAGACTCGTAAACTTAAAAAATTAATTTTTTTTACTCAACTTGATCTAATTTTCTCCCTATTTGAAGCAATTAAGAACTAGAACTTTGTCAAATAAGCCATTTGAGTAATAGGGCATGTTTGATACTTTATTAAAAGAAATAATTCATTAAAAATTAATAATTTTTAGGGATTTGATATTTGAGTTGATAAATTAAATTAAAATTATTTATTAGATTATTTTAGATAAAAAAGTAGAAATATTTTTAAGATAAATTCTAAGTTTAATCTTTATCTTACTTAAATGAAAGATAAAGAGTAACGACAGAGGAAGAAACAATCTTCATATTAAGAAACAATTTTTAGGGATTTGATATTTGAGTAACGATAGAGAATGTTCATAGTGAATTAAGAACTCATAATTTAGAAAGACAAAAAAGAATAAAGATGAGTAATTTAATCAATCATCCAAATTTATTCAGAAAAATAAAAGTATTAAATAGAAATATATGTTCATCACTTAGTGAGAAATAATTTTCATATTTTTTAGTTTTATAATAATTTTGTTTTCGAAATTCTATATTTATCATATTATCATGCTCATTATGTATTTACTTTAATTTTAAATGAAATATTAAATAATATTTATAATTTAATATTAATATTTATATTTTGGAAATGATCTATACTTTTGGCCTATGTAATTGGTACGATTAAGAAATGAATGTTGTTTTTGTAAATTTTATAATATCATTTTATTAGTATTGTCTTTGTAAGGTTTAATTAATTATACAACTTTTCTTAAACAAGTGTTTAATTTTTTTTAATCGTTCAGGTGACTAATGTTACAAACGTTATCATATTAGATGCTCGGGTTGTAATTGTTATTAAATTTCTCTGTTAAGTGTAGAGGTGTCAAACGGGTCATTCAAATCGAGTTTGGGTCGGGTCATTTCGAGTCGAGATTATATTCGGTTTAGTTTTATTCAGGTTGGATCGGGTCTGGTTCGAATTTAGTTCAGGTGCATGGTAAATCAGGTCAGGTCGGGTAATGGGTCGGGTGATTATCAAATTGGTTGTTTTTTCGGTTTGGATCAACATCGGATCGATTGCTTTTTGGGTCGGGTTAAACCAGGTCGATTAGATTTTAAATCGGATCAATATCGGATCGGTTGATTTTTCGATCGAGTCAATATCTAATCGATTGATTTTTGATTTGGATCAACCTTTGTATCAAGTCAATTCAGATTGAATTACTTATGAGTCTAATCAATTATATATAGATTATTGATATATTCATGTATAAATATGTCTTATTGTTTGTTAATCTTATTACTTAGGCTTAATTTTGTATAAGTCTAATCCAGTATATATAGATTTTCGGTTCGAATTGCTTTCAGTTCAAATTGATTTCGGTTTGGGTTACTTTCTAATTGAGTTAAATTTGGTTCAAGTTGTTTTTCAGTTCGGGTTAAATTTAGTCCGGATTGCTTTCGGTTTGGGTTAATTACGGTTCGAGTTGTTTTCGATTAAGGTCAAATTGGATATGTATCCATATTGGGTCAACTAAAATTTAGATCGAGTATGGTTCGAGTTTCAGGTAAAATTTGATCATCATGTTCGGGTTAATATCGAGTATTGTGTTGAGTAAATCGATTTGGATAACCATGTTTAAGTGAATTTTTTCAAGTCTAGTTAAGTGACACGTTCTAATAATTTTGATTTTTTTAAAAAAAAATTAAAAAAATATTATATTTATAAAAAAACTCAAATTTCTCTTAAATTACATAAAATCTCAAATCCTTACAAATCTTAAACCCCTAATCCTAAGCTACCGACATCATTGTCGGCCACGACCACCATTGTCGACGTAGTCATTGTCATCTTCTTAGTCATACGCCGCCATACTGGTTGTCGATTGGTCATCGAGATTGTGTGAAGTCACGATTTGCTGTGTAGGGTTCGTCTGGGTACAAACGTCGATTACTAGCGATTTCATCGAGTTATTGATTTTCGGGTGGAGCTTCGTCAACGGTAAAGGGTGGCACCGACGTAAGTTTTGGAGTTGAAATAAAAATTTTCAAAATTTTAGAATTTTTTAAAGTATTTCAAAAATTTTGTGTTTACGGCAATTACAGCCTGAATCCTTAATCCCTAAACTAATAACATAAGACACCTTAATAATATTATTAAAAAAAGTTTGGATAATTATTTGAAAAAAAAATTATAGTTACTCATTTTATAATTAAGTCTTTTTGTAAAAGTAATCTGATTTTCCAAACGAAATAAAAGAAAATAAAATTCCATAAATCCAACAAAACAAAAACCAATAACCACTCCGTTCCATCACTATTGATTTCTCTTTCGAATCAACACTCGGAAAACTGTCTGAAAATTTTCTGTCAGTTTATCGAGAAATTAACAAAAAAGGGAAAGAAAAGCAAAAGCACTTCCAATGGGCCGAAGCTCATCTCCTCCAAGACGGGCTGTTCTGCGGTGCGGCGCCTAAAAAACGGCTAATATACGGCGTGACCGGTTAAACAAGTGACCGGTTAAAATTTAGACCGGTTATGTTATATTATTTAACCGGAAATATTATAAAGTACAATAACATACTAGGTAGCGCTTATATAATGTAATAGGTAGCGCTTATATTTACCTATTTTATAAGTAAACCGGTATATTTATACCGATAGCATTGCAAATTTACCTATTACATTATATTATATTGAAAGTGTCCATACTTTTTATAAAAAGGATCGATACTTTTTTTAAAAGTTATGTAATTTATGTTTCAATTTTTTTAACAGTGTTTCATGTTTTCCACCTACAATATTGATTTAATAATTTCATTTGCACAAAAAATTATTTGATTGTTTTTATATTTTATAAAATATTATTTAGAATTTTTAATTTAATAATAATATATACCGTAACGTAAAAAATAAATCATTAGACGCCTATTATGCCTAAATATGTAGTTAACAAACATACCCTAAATATGTAGTTATTGTACATACCTAAATTTAATGATAATATACTTGTAGTTATTGTACATACCTAAATATGTACTGCGAATTTAATGTTGTACCCACCCTTTAACTACCACTACCAATGCCACATCCTATTGAAAGCAGCACGACAGAAACATGTTCAAAATGAACCTTCGTTTACATATCCATCAACTCCTGGAGCACTGAACTTGCACAACAAAATTTTTGCCATGGATAATACTGATGTAGACAATGTTAAGCCAACCGAGGAATGCCATGAAGTACATAATGTTGATGAATCTGACAGATTGGTTGGTCAGCTCTTCTGTTCACGTGATCAAGCTTGGCACTTTTACAAGGGATTCGCACGGGAACATGGGTTTAGTGCACGTAAGGGAACAACACGGCTTGACGTGGAAGGGAATGTGAAGACACAAGAATTTTGTTGTTCCAAAGAAGGGTTTCGAGTATCAAAAGTCAATACTGTTGATCGTCAACGTGCTCATACGCCAGTCACAAGAACAGGATGTAAGGCTAGAGTCGTAGTTACAGCAACAAATACAAACGATCAGTGGGTTATAAGTAAGTCTGATCAGAAACATAATCATGCATTGTGCACATCTGCTATGACACCATTATGCGTTCTAATCGAGCTGTAAGTAAGGCTGATATCGATGAGGCAACAACATTGAAAGAGGTCGGTGTTGGCACGGCACAAGTAATGAACTATTTAACGCAGCAGGCAGGGGGCTATCATAATGTTGGATTTACACATAAAGACCTCTACAATGCACTTCAAAGAGGTAAAGCAAAGGAAATCGTCGATGGGGATGTGAATGCGCTTATTGCCTACTTTGATTATAAGAAACATGATGATCCCGGGTTTTTTATGACATACTCGGTAGACGAATCGGGGGCATTGTATAATCTTATTTGGTCGGATTCTACATCGAGATCGGATTACACATGCTTCGGTGATGTAATTGTGTTCGACACAACGTACAAAGATAATTTGTATGGTCGACCAATTATGCCTATTGTTGGTGTCAATCATCACCATAACACAATTGTGTTTGCCACTGCCATAATCGCTGACGAAACGTCTCAATCTTTCGAGTGGGTGCTACAGAATTTTTTAGAAGCCATGATGAATAAATCACCTATTTCTGTTGTAACCGATGGGGATAGGGCAATGCAGAGGGCTATCAAATCTGTTATCCCTTATGCTAAGCACAGATTATGTTCTTGGCATCTTTCTCGCAATGCACAAGC